ACTCTGTTGTAAATTACAATATAATTTTCCCTTACCCATAATTTAGACCTACTTAAGCTACTTTAGTGCACGATAGTACTTATAGTACCGTGTGTGCACCCTTATACTTTAAAGAATATCACCCGAGGTTATACAAATAAAAAATTAAAAAATTATATAAAATTATATAAATCACAAATCATATGAAAAAATACCCTAATACAAAAACACAAAATACACTATTGATGGTATTACATAAAGCAAGAATACAATTTTTTAACGAGTTGAATTTGTTCTTGTTATTAATCTAAATTTGATATTCAATGTGAAAGTCACTTTGAAGTATCCATAGTTTTATTTCTTTTTTACACTTGTTATAGGGTTGAGTTCTTATGCTAATTGGTAGACAATTGAATATTTTAGGTCCCAAACAATAGATATGGAATTGGCATAAGGTATGCTTGGGGGTTTGTCTGATGACACCTTTTTGGGCAGCATTTCTCGTGTTTATTCCATGATTAATAGCTTCTTTGTAATAAGGCACCCTCAACATAAACCTCACTATTGATTTTAAGTGAAGCTGTCGTATATCAAACAAGCCACTTTCACTAAATACTAGTTCTGTTGGATATCTTCTATTTTTAAATAACATGATTTTTATAATGTATTTTTGTGCTACTCGAAGCTTGTTTAAGATTGTCACCCCTGCACCACCCCAAACAACCAAACCATAGTTCAATACTGACTCGACCAGGGCATAGTATACTGTCCTCAGAGTATCCAGAGTAAGGATGTGTCTCAATTCATAAAACTTAAATATCAATTTTCGCACTTTGTTAGTAACATATGTAATATGCTCTTTCCATGTAAGATTTTCATCTAAGTATATTCCTAGGTACTTCAAGTAACCTTTTCTTTCTATCAGTTTTATGCATGAGCATGTTTGGTCCAATATACAGTTGTTTTCATGTAATATCAAATTTTGATAGTTTGGTAAATTGCAAGAGGAAAACGAAAAGGCAACAAATTTGGTTTTCACTACATTTAATGAAAGCAGACTATAATCCATCCATCTCTTAATCCTCTGCAGTGCGAATTCAGCTTTATTCTTTACTCCCTCCCAGCTGTTTCCCCAAATAATTATTCCAGAGTCATCCGCAAAACAATATACTACTCCCAAATGTAGACACATGGGAATACCGCTCAATGAATACAATCTTTATACTTTAAGCTTTGCAGATGATCAAGTATTAATTGCACAGGACTATGATGACCTAGAGTACATGACACGAAAATTGATAGAGGAGTACGAGAAATGGGGTTTGGAAGTAGATCTAGCGAAAACAGAATATATGACTATGGGAGTTGAATAACGAAATCTGAAATTGAATAACGGACAAGAAATAAAACAATGTACTGAATACAAATATTTGGGCATGAAAATATCACATGAAGGAACCCTAGATGAAGCAATTAAAGATCGGAATATACAAGGACGTAAGGCAATATCTCTACTGAATGGTGTACTGTGGTATCAAAATATCAACAACACTAACGAAACGAGAATATACAACACCATAGTCAAAAGCATAGTCACGTATAGTTCAGAAGCCTGGCCACTAAAGATCAGAACCGCAAAAATGCTAGAAGCAACTGAAATGGACTTTTGGAGGAGATCGGCAGGCAGGTCAAAAATGGAAAGGATAACAAATCTGAGAATTAGGGAGATTATGGACGTAAAACACACAATAATAGATGATATAAGTAAAGGACAAACAGCTGATTTGGTGTGGACATGTGCAAAGAATGGCAGATACAAGAATACCCAAGCAAATAATTGAGTGGAAGCCAGGGGGAAGAAGTCGCGGCAGACTAAGAAGAAGCTGGAGAAGCGGAGTAGACGAGGAAATGAAAGACAGAGGCTTAGAAGAGGATGCCTGGATTGACAGAGATGGTTGGAGATCGGGAATCAGAAGATGTAGAACGTTATAAACCGATAATTATATATACAGGGTGTTCCTAAATATCATGTACAAACGAAAGGGGGTGATTCTTTGGTTTATTTTATGACTAAAATTTCTAATAAACATAGGTCCGCAAACGCTTCGTTACCGATCTACAGGGTGTTGAAGTTTTGATATTTTTCTAGTTTTTTCTTTATAGGTAGCTTCTGCAATTTTTGTGGGGTTTAGCTCAAATTTGGAATATAGGTTACGCAATAAGAGCTGAACGATTGCACATGTCAAACGTTTGCCAGAATCTACAGGGAGATACGAGGGGTCAACCACTTCCCGAAATACGTGTACACTTGGCCCGAATTACCTCCGAAATACTTCGAAGTACCTAGAAATACCTTGAAGTACCTCGAAATACCAGGTATTCCCGTCGAAGTACACGAAATCCCATGGAATTACCGTCGAATTACGCAAAATACCCTCGAATTACCTCACGAAGTCCCGCAATACTTCTAAAAAATTATCGTTGATAACGATTTTTCTTGCAGATCGCAGTGATGTATTTTTGTTCGGATTTTTGTGTCTTTAGATATGATGAATTTTATTTGGACATACAGGTTAGACAATTAAATTATTAATTAGTGATGCAGGTGACTGTTAGTTCTACAATGCTGTTAGGTACAGGGTCATCCAACGAAGACTGAACAGGGGCAATTTTTGACTTTCCCTGTATTTTTTAGATAATCCAAATAGCCAATTGGATTTTTTTTTTCTGAATAATTCAAAAATAGTCCAAAAAAATCGTTTAAACCAAAGAGTTACGCCATGGATTAACTGTTTCTTAAACAGAACGCCGTGTTTTTTTGCATGATTTTTGGAAAAGGCTTATCTTTCATGTCTATTCTGTTGAACATACATATTTGATATTATAGGTATAATCTTTGTATTTTGTTGCTATGTTTTAAACAGGCAAAGCAAAAATTAATAAGAATAAAATATTAAAATAAAATAAAAATAGCTATTGGAATATCAAATATTTTTTTCTCTTTCTATTAAAAAACAGCTCATCCATGGCATAAGTAACCCTATGGTTTTTTGTTCAAAGGATTTTTTGGTACCATTTTTGAGTTCTCCAGAGAAAAAAATTCCAATTGGCTATTTTGAATTTTCTCAAAAATACAGGGAAATTCAAAAATAATCCTCTGTTCAGTCATCATTGGATGACCTTGTACTATTAACTAACTGACATTGATTACTAATACAAGTAATACATATCAGGTATATACCTACTTAGTATATCTTTCCATTTGTTTCAATTAATCTGCAGTAAATTATTAGGCCAACATATTCAGCCTGTTCGAAGATGGAGTAGAATTTTTATTCTATAATATTCAATTTTGAGTGATAAAGAATTGATTGTTCTTGGTACATAAAAAAAAAACTGCCTGAAAATAGCGCAAAATACCTTGGCTTACCGCGAAATACTTCGAATTACCTCGAAATACTTCAAATTACCTCGAAATACTTCGAATTACCTCGAAATACTTCGAATTACTTTCAAATAATACGAAGTACTTGGCAATACCACACAAAAATGGGTCCGAATTACCACCACCGAAATACTTTGAATTTCGCGAAATACTTGCGAAATACCGACATTTTCGCAATACGTGTACAAATTTTTACAGAGTGGTTGACCCCTCGGGGAGATATATAGATATATTTTGTCTGTGTTTCATGCGTTGGTAAAGACTTGTTTTTTCTGTTTTTTGTTCTTTTATTCTCTGTTTTAACTGAGTAATGTTTTAATTTTTAATTTTAGTGTTAGTTTTAAACTTTATTTGTTATTGACCCTTATCGAGAAAAAAATTAAAAAACAAATATCTGTAATTAGCTAGATGAAACTAAAATGCTCGCTAAAATGATTCAATAAACTTTTTCTACCTACAGAGGCGACAATAGAGATCCCGCAGCCATATTTTTGCTCATTTTCACAATAAGAATCTAGAGGTAAGACACTTTTCGTCGCCATATTCTTGCTCATTTTCGATATGAAAACATTGAAATTTCCGCAACCTGTGGATCAGTAACGAAGCGTTTGCGGACCTTATGTTCATTAGAAATTTTAATCCTAAAATAAACCAAAGAATGACCCCCTTCCGTTTGTACATGATATTTAGGAACACCCTGTATAGCAATAAACTTGCAGGGAAAAAAATAGCAAACTGTGAAGTGGCCCCAAAATACCTACAAAAAATTAAAAATTGTTTTGGTACAGTACAATTTGTGACTATATAGAAATCAAGGCAGGTAAATAATCTCTTGTAAGTAATTGCTACTGGAGTTCCTAAAAACCTCATTAACCCTTAGAAATCCTATAAAGTTTATTGGAATCACTAAATACCTATCTTTTGAAATTTCCAAAACCACTCCACAATTGAAGGTATTTTTATATAGTAGTTCACTAACTTTATTCCACTACTTGTAGGTACATAAGAAATGGACTATAGTTACTTTACTACATACAAACTAGAAAAATCAACACTCTCTCTCCGATAAATTAATTTCTACTCTTTGGCAACACTGTCAGAGAGCTTTTCCAATTGAATTGGAAATCACCAAGGAAAATCGCCGAACTATGTCCTCCCAATTGATTTTGTTGTGCGAAATTAGCACAGAGAGGTTTTAAAATACACACACACACTAAAATAAATTAAAACCGAGAGAAAGTGAGAAATATCGCAACACTTGTGTGTGTGTGTGTGTGTGTAGGTTACTACTTTTCATTATAATTTTATCGAATTAAAAATGAAATAAACAACCTTCGTAGACTTAAGTTTGTTTGTTTGAAATTATTGAAATCGTGTCAGTTTTGATAACAACAAAAATATCGATTTTAAATGATTTGGATTCGAGAAAAGAAAGCTGCTGTTTGTAAAAAACAAGAATAGTTTTAACTTATTAATAAGTAACGTAACAAGCAATGTAAACATTAAAAATGCTTGATTATTGGGTGCCAAAATAAATCGACACCTGATTCAATTAATTACACTAATTAATGAACTTACCAAAGCAAAGAAATTTGTGTGGCAATCCTCTAAACTAGCTCCGTTAGTTTGAAAATTGGGGTGCGTCATATTTGATCCATTTTCCTTTAAAATTTAATCCACAGTTCACTTCAACACAACACTTTACGAAAATTAGAATCCAGAGAACCGCACCGTTACAAAACAAAAAAAAAATATTACCCCGATTTTGAAATTTTCTCTACCTTTATCCTACTGTGGTAATTGCAAAATGGCGACGCAAGCTGTACTGAAATACTCGGTTTCGGAACAATCGGAACCGACAGACATTTCACAGTTCGTTCTAGTTACGACGTACGTTCTCTATGTTTTGTATCACCGATCGTTAGTTGACGATACGTTATCAGTCAATCGACGTAAGCGGCTTCTAGTTTTAGTTTGTCAATACACCAAAAGAAATCATGGCGGCTTTTTTCAGGCATGGCTTTTCGAAAACCCCTGGAATTCTAAAACCGAAAAACGTAAATAAATAATTTTAATATAATACCACTTTGTTAAAGTCCAATTAAGTTTATAGTTCACTGTTTCCTCAACACTCTGTTCTTTTTGCACTGTTTCAGGGAGTTTTCAAAACAACAACACACACAATAATAAGAGATTTTTTTTCCAGGTTAGTCCGAGATGTTACGCCACGAAAGCGGAAAAACGCAAAGGGCTGGATAGAAGGCCGACACCGAAACTGGATCCTGTGTCCGTCTCTATTGCGGCAAAAGGGTGTGTACCGTCTTTTTACTTTCCTTTTTGACAACTGCGACTAGCGCGGGGAGCCATTTATTACAGCTTTCCCTTTGGTTCCGGATAGATGGTGTAGAGGCCGCCACCTGACGGTCGATATATTTGAGACTGCGCGTCGGCTTTAATTTGCGTAAAATAGCGCTTTATTTTATCAATACGTAGTCAGTTCGGTTAAAAGATAACACTGAGGACAGAATATTATGTACACATGATCTTTTCATTCGAAGTCATAGAGCTCATCTTTTTAAATACTTGCAGATGATTAACCGAACTCTACTACTATTTGATTTTTTTAAAAGTTTGTTCCAACTTCATTTCTTAAAAGCGTTCTGAAATCGTTAATACAAATTCTATACCTAAGTGCAAGTTCTGCACTGAATTCTATGATTGAAAATCGGTTTGAATGGTATTTTTAATTTGCCTTTGTCGAATAACGAAATAACTTGTCCCCAGCCAAACTGTTCCAAGGTTGGAACGCTTTAAGGCGTTTTCATTCCTCTCAACTCTAGGTACACCAACTACTTGTTCTGATATGTTGAATGGTTTTCAGTCAGTTTGCACCAGCGGTAATCCATGAGATCTAAAAAATATTTCATTATTAACTTATTAATAATTATTGTTTTTTTTTTACAATAGAAAGTGGTATAGAAAAACCGATGAGTCTTTATTGGTATTGAATATGACACTTTTCACATGCCAAAAAGCATTTAGGCAGAACGTATAACGGGTTAGCAATAGGAGTTTAAAATTGAGCACACAAAGTTTTAGTGAGGTATTTAGGTTGCCTGATAACTTTTATGACGTCATCTGGGGTGCCTCAAAATAATGCATATCTCCATAAGGCACCCCAGATAACGTCCTCAAGCTACCTGCTTTCCAGTGACGAATTTTAAGGTGCTCCACACCCGCAGCTTTACACTCTAGTGCTCCAAACAATTTTTGTTTCACTGAAACGCACCCTACTTTAAGCGTCGTGTTTTTGATGCACCCATAAAATTGCAGGTGCTTGAGAGGGCAGGGGAGAGGACAAATTAACGGTTTTGCGCGAAACTCTCATGCACTGGAACGCCTATGAACAGTCCGGGGCGCTCTAGAGCAGATCAGGAGTACTTAATAAAGTGCGTCACTGGAAAGTGACTCGTGACTCAGACAACCTATCAACTTTAGGAACCTTGGCCCGCGCCATTGAGGCAGAACGTACAATAAGGCCTGTTTACTTCAAATTAGGGACCTGGACTGAAATGAAATATCGGTTCCGGTCCTCAACGTCATTACAAATATCGGTTCTGTTACGGTTCCGGTTCTAAGAGAAAAATATTTCGATTCGGTTTGGACCAATAATTTCGGTTTCAACGTTTCATACTTATGAGGTTTACTGGTGGCCGTATAATAGGCAAATTTTGGCAAGGATAACCAAGCATACTCGGGCTGCGTTCAGGAATGGCTACAGCCAAGCCAAAATTGGTTCAGCTCCAACCTACGTGGTTTGGCATTACCGGCGGAGGGAGAAAAGTAGGTTTTGGTCAATGAACTATAGCTAAAAACTGGAATGCGCACACATTGCCATATCTGCCAAAAAAATGAAGCCATGAAAGACAGATGCCACAATGGGGAATGTTGTTTTTTTCTGTTGCTCGCTGACATATGACGTTTTCGAAAGTTTTGTCATATTTCCCTTCACAGGTTTCATCAATTGGAATACGTGTTGGAAGCAATTTTCGCCATTTAACATAATGAGTGCGACAAAAACAGGTATCCCCTCCGCAGCAGCCGCACTAGGCTTCAAGTTCGTCCTTATGTGTTAGCATTCCAGTTTTTGGTTATAGTTCATTGGTTTTGGCATTAGCATTGCCGTCTTTGAACACACCGCAGATTATGCTCAGATGTTATGTGTCAATTAATTATGTGTCATACCTCCCTAACTCCCCCACCATCAAATTCTGGGATATTCGAGGATCAAGAACACTTAACTTCTTTTGTGAGTACAGACCGAAAATCACCTTTTCTACATTTGAAATCGACAAAAAAATTAACTCACTAGCACAGCCGATCAGTGGCACAGCCTGAATCGCAAGCATTCCATCGAGGTCTGCGGGTGACGTCATCACCATGAGCTGCTGACAATGAACTATATACCGTGCGTTCGGTATTATGATCTGAATGGTATGTACTATTGACAGATGAGTTGAAGAGGGCGCTTCTGTACTTGGAGCTATTTAAATTATGGCGCGTAAATAAATTGATTGTAATTTTAACCTCAAAAGTTAAGTCTGATGTGTGGTTTCAAGACAAGCTGACGCTGACACTTTTAAAAATATTCTCTAAGGGCCACTGAATGCTTTGGAAAATATTTTAACTTATTCATTGTCCATTGTTCATATTGTAGTCATCTTTCCTTCTACTCAATTTAAACGGTTTAAAACTATTGACATTTACCGCCAAAATTTGAAGCACTCCAAGTTCACTCGCGCCCTCTACAAAATTTTGGAGAACTTAACTAAATATTTCCTGCTATTCTCCGAGCTTGAATTTACCGTTCGTTTATTGAAGTGTGCTCGGTGCAGGCTCATCCGGGTTCGTTTATTAAATTTAAAAAAGGCTATGAAACAGCATTTCACTGCTCTGTGCGTTCGCTGGTCACGTGATTACTACTCCGGTTTAGCACGCTCTGGTCGCTCTGCTCTTTGAGCAAAAGACCGAACGCAAGGATACACTACACATACCAAACCTGACATGGCACCGACCGTTGTCGGATGTGGTATTTGTCATCTCTCTCATAGAGCGTCCAAAGATAGCCCATAGTGGGGAAAACCTTTCTCTCTCAAGTTAATTGCTGTTAGGTTTGGTATATTCCTAACTTTAAAATATAATATTTTTTAGACAAGGAAAAATTTTCATAATTGGCCCATAAAGTAAATAGAGATAGGTATCTCCTAAATTCTCCATCCCAGTTTGTCTTATTTTATAGATAGGCCGGGCCATTCCAGGTACGTGTAGTTTATAGTTCATTGGCTGCTGATAGTGACGTCACTCGCAAGCCCAGAATTGAATGAAGTGGGAGTTATGACCGTTTCCACCAACTATTTTAGGACAGCCCTAACGATAAGTATTCCCTAAACTGACATTTCTCCATGTAAAAATGTCATTTAAGGGAATACTTATCGTTAAGGCTCCCCTAAAATAGTTGGTGGAAACGGCCATTAGGAGAGTATGACACAATTGAAACATAAGAGCTGAGCATAATCAAATTATGTTTAAAGGGGGTGTGCGCCAAAAATTAAAGTTTAAGTGTAAAAAAATCTAAGGATAACTGTTCAAACCTCGTTATTCTACGATAAACCATCGCTGAGATATACCGCTTTAAAGTGTGGAGGACGCTCTCGTGACGTCACGAAAACTTCCTACAGCCGAGCTCCGCATTGTTAATTTGATTGTTCCCGGCACGTGTGAGTGGTTTTTGTTTAGATTATTGCAGGTAACGCAGGAGAAACATATGTAAATTTAATTAACTCCACTTTCTCGTGCGTCGCTTGAGCTTTCGTGACGTCATAGTGAGATGCGGTACCTTCATAGAGCCATATCTGCGGTATTATTTGTCATAGGGTGCGGATTTCACTATTATTCTTAGATTTTTTTTCTCTTTTTTTTGAGATGAAGTTGTTTTTTTGGCGCACACCCCCTTTAATTGTCCTGACCTTAGACATCCTGACACACGGAAAAGTTGAGAAATATAAAGTCTGTTTTTTTTTTAAAGATAATTCCCCAAGTCAAAAATTTAGTAACTTTGTTGGCAACACAAGCCTTTTCTACATACAAAATTTGAAAGCATTGACAATTTTACATTGCATTGCCAACATAATGTCTGACTTTTATCTTAAAAAAAAAAAACAGATTTTAGTATTTTTGAATATACCTATTCGAAAGTACCAGTCGTTTACCATTAGTTCTGTTTCTGCAGAAATCGCAAACCATTCATAGCGAATTTTATTGGTTGAAAACAGTCAGAAAACTAGTTTCAACCAATGAAATTCTCTCTGACTGGTGTGTTATTTCTACAGAAACAGACTGATTATTTATAATTCTTCAAACAACACTTATTTAGATCTCGTTTGCTTGTCCCTCTTTGCCTATATTACGTTAATCAAAATCAAATAATACCTTTCATCATAAATGTTTAAGCTCAATTTATAAACTCGCGTCGGGATTCCGTTCGCGTCTGCGTTTGCGTCGGCCTCGCCGTTACTGTAGTCTCTATGCCAGTGGTTCCCAAACTGGGGGGCGCGCCCCCCTGGGGGGGCGTGAAGCAACATTGAGGGGGGCGTAAGTCTTCTAAACGATTAATACAAATTTTAAGCTTTAAAATAAAAAATTAGTTAAAATTTTAAAAAAGATGTCTAAACTCTCTCTATCCAAAGTTGAACGTTGAAGGTCACTTACTCATTCTTGTAACCATAGGATTCACATGTTCGGACCTATTTTGGTTTGATAAACACAGTGCGCGTGCAATAAAGACAGCAGCAAAAAGCACCGTCTGTGATATATTCGAGTAAGTGACCTTCATCGTTCAACTTTTGTTAGACAGAGTTTACAATCCTGCAACAGCGTATACATAAGCCAAAGCCAATGAACTATAACCAAAAACTGGAATGCTAACACATAAGGACGAACGTGAAGCCTAGTGCAGCTGCTGCGGAGGGGGCTGTTTTTGTCGCACTCGTTATGTTAAATGGCGAAAATTGCTTCCCACACGTATTCCAATCGATGAAACCTGTAAAGGGAAATATGACAAAACTTTCGAAAAAGTCATATGACAGCGAGCAACAGAAAAAAACAACATTCCCCCTTGTGGCATCTGTCTTTCATGGCTTCAATTTTTTGGCAGATATGGCACTGTGTGCGCATTCCAGTTTTTAGCTATAATTCATTGGCCAAAGCAGCTTTGTCATGCGATCTGTTACTATGTATTCCTTTTACCCGTTGAGTTACTCGGAGCTGCTTAATGTCAAAAGCGTGAACGTTCCTTTTAAAAGTGCGTGAAAGCAC